GGCAGATGCCTAATGGACCAAGCCACCCAGGCGCCCCAGGAGGGTGTGGATTCTTGCAGGTGTAGCCATGGAACAGCGCTCCTGCCTTCCTCTTCCTGCCGTCTCCCATCACGGCTGTGCTCCCCACCCCCCACAGATCCGGCCCCACATACACAAGCTGTCTCTTGGCTTCTTCCTCTCTCGCTCTGCCCACTCCCTTAAACCTTTGATGTCCCAGAGCACTGACTGTATGCAGGAAGGGATGGGTGGTGGTTTCTAGAAATTCCCCTTGCTTTACCGTTGGGCTCTGCAAACAGTTCTGCGTTGGATCCTAAGTGGGAACGTCAGAGTGGGAGGGAGAGGAGGGGCTTGAGGGCAGCCCCCCAGCAGAACCCCTGTGATGGCAGAACTGGAAGGGCCTCTAGCCCGGGGCCTTTCTCCGATAGAAAAGGAAACTAAAACTAAAACTGCAGGCCGGCGCAGCTGACCTTCTCAAAGCCTCGGAGCCAGTGAGTGGAGTCAGACCTGTATGACGCATGCATAGCTCTCTCCTCAGCTTCTGTGATTCTGTGTGCTAAGAGAGAGGGATGGAGGGGAAAAGACACCCATTCCAAGGTCTTGGCCTTACTGGTCACTGTTAGTGGGGGGCCATAAACACATTGTATGAAGGCACGATAATAATTGTTTTGGTCCCCCAAGAAGCTTTTCATAATAACAACTACTAATGTTTGTGTCATGTTTTAGCATTTCTGTGTAAGTGTTCCACAAAAGCCCCTGGGGGGGAGATTATTACTGAACTATTTTTTGCCAATAAAACACAGGTGCAAAGATACTAGATTATTTGTTCTTGGTCATCCATCCGGGAAATGGTGTGATTAGGACTCAAAGTAGCTGGCGAGCTCCAGAGGGGCAGGGAGGGTCCCAGTCTCCCTCATCACTGCAGTCCCGAGGCCTAGCCCACTGCTGAATGACTAAGTGACCTCAGGACCAGTTTCAGTTCTCTGGGTTTTTCTTCTCAAACCTTTGAAACTAGGGTCCTACCACTTGAGGGACCACCTAGATGGGCCTCAGTGAGAGAGATATGAGTAGACACAAAACCTGTTCAACAAATACACACAAATCCCAAGATAACACTTCCTTTGCTTGAAGCTGAATTTTCAGTGCTTTTTCCCAGGACCTGGGCTACAGGCCTGAACATTTAAGGAAATGGAGAAAGGCAGTATTCCTTGCCCTGCCTTAGAAAGAGCTTGTGTGTGCTGTCCTGTGCTTCTGTGTGCTCTGGAGCAGTGGAGATACCCCAGATGGGGACACGCCAGGTGGGGACATAGCTTCCCTCCCAGGCCAAGAAAGTAGCTGGACAGCAGAGGGCGCTGCAGAGCTACAGACCTTGCATTCGTGGGCTAGGGAGGTTTTCCAGAGACAACCAGGCATCTTGGGGGGGTCTTCTAAAGCCTCCGGTGTTCTGTGATCCTATAGCAATTTCTCCTCTTTTCTCCAGAAATCTGAGTGACACCTGCCAGGTTGCTGAAGGAGGGTGGGTGGTTTTGAATTCCACTGTACCTTTCCAAATTGTGTGACCTTAGGTAAATAACTCTCTGAGCTTCCGTTTCTTCATGGGCAAGGAAAGATGGTGTGCTCTGCAGAATTAGACATGAGTTTGTATCAGGAGCCCCTTGCAAAGCATGAGGTTGAACAACCATCCCACGCTTATATTTCCATGGTCCACTCTGTGCCCTGCAGCGGTCTCTGGTACGGGGAAGAGTCCATGATGGGCAAAAAGCCAACCTGGCTCCTGTCCTTGTGGAGTTTACAGCTTAGTAGGGAAGACAGATTTTAATCAAATAACCCCAAGGGGAGATGAAAAATCACAGCTGTTTCGTCAGTGTGACAAAAGAGCGGTCTGGGAGCTGGGTGGGGAGAAGTAAGCACCCAGGCAGAGAGATTTCCCTGAGGTAGTGAGGAGTGAGTTCAACTTAAGGATGAGTAGGAGTTTACTAAGCAAAAAGAGAAGGAAAAAGCCTTTCAAGAAAAGGGAATAGCTTATGTAATGGCCATATGTGTGTGAGCCTCACACAGGGCTAGCGGAACTGCAGGGGCGGGAGAACAAAGTGAAGGTTGGTGGGAGATGAGGCCAGACAGAAGCAGGGGTCAGATCACACAGGACCCCATAGGCCTCCTTAAGGGGTTTTCTCTTCAGCCTTAGAACAATGGGAAACCACGAAGAGTTATAATCACGGGTTATAGACAAATTTCCACATTATTATTTTTTTATTTTAATTTTTTAAAAGATTTTATTTATTCATTTGAGACACAGAGATACAGAGAGAGAGAGAGAGAGCGAGAGAGAGCATGAGCAGGGGAAGAGGCAGAGGGAGAGGGAGAAGCAGGCTCCCCGCTGAGCCAGGAGCCCAACATGGGGCTCGATCCCAGACCCTGGGATCTGGACCTGAGCTGAAGGCAGACGCTTAGCCATCTGAGCCACCCAGGCGCCCCAATTTTAATTTTATTTTTAAGTAATCTCTACACACAACATGGGGTTTGAACTCATGACCCTGAGATAGAGTTGCAAGCTCTTTGGACTGAGCCAGCCAGGTGCCCTGACAAATTTTCATTTTAAAAAACTCTCTCTGGGGGTGCCTGGGTGGCTCAGTTGGTTAAGCGGCTGCCTTCGGCTCAGGTCATAATCCCGGGGTCCTGGGATCGAGCCCCGCATCGGGCTCCCTGCTCGGTGGGGAGCCTGCTTCTCCCTCTCCCTCTGCCTGCCTCTCTGCCTACTTGTTCTCCCTCTGTATCTCTCTGCCAAATAAATAAATAAAATCTTAAAAAAAAAAAAAAAAGCTCTCTCTGGCTCCAGGGCTCATACCCTCCTCACTCCAGTGCACCCTCAGATACAAAGTTGCTAAGTTCTGCTGACTGATCCTTCCTCCTTATCTCTTGCATCCCTCGACATCTCTTAGGGGACAGTTGCAATAGTTTCCTAACTGATCTCCCGGCCTGCTGTCTCCAGTCCAGGCCTCTCCCTCCCCTCCAGTCCAGTATCCTCTACACAGCATTCTCTTATTTGATCTTCACAGCATGTCTGCAAGTAAGTGATGCAGTCATGTTTATTCCTATTTTGCAGATGAGAAAACTGAGGTACGAAGATGCTGTGGAGCTGGCTCATACAGGACTGTGAAAGCCAACTGTTAAAATTTCAAGAATTTTGCAAGCCAGTTGTGAAACACAGCTACTATTCAAAATTAAAGAATGCACACTTATAATTAAATGTTTAAAATAAAGGTAATATATTTTCAAAACTCATCACTTTCTAATAATTTTACTATTACTGTTTACCTAGGTTCCTGGGGTTGTAGCTGCACGATGAAACTATTACATAAGGGTATGCTACTGCTCATCTCTTTCTAACTCCGTGTTCAGTAACTCTGTATTCTGAAAATTGAAATCAGCCATGGTGGGAGTATCTACACCATGGATATCAGCAAATGCTACAAATTGGGGCCTTGATTTAGTGTTTTGTTGATTATCTAGATTTAAGAAAGTGATGGAGGGAAAGTTAGTAATTAGATTTAAATTTAATGTGTTATGCCTGTAGCCATTACATTGTGAATAGCACAAAAATTGAGGAAATCTTTTTTTTAATAAAGATTTTATTCATTTATTTGGGGGGGGGAGGGAGAGAGAGCACACAAGCGGGGGTGGGGAGGTGGGGAGGGAGAAAGAGACTCCCCGCCCAGCAAAGAGGCCCAAGGTGGGCTCCATCTCAGGACCCTGGGATCATCACCTGAGCCGAAGGCAGAGGCTTAACCGACTGAGCCACCCAGGCGCCCCCAAAATTAAGGGAATATTCTTTCAGTATTTGAAAACTGTTTTCTGATTCACCAAGTAAGTCACTCCCATAATTGCCAGTTAAGACCGTCTTTATTTTTTTCATTTTCCTCTTACACTGACATTGAGGAAAACATCAACCAACATTCATGCTGCAATTCCTTGGTCAACTGAAACCACAGGTTGGCTACCCATACAAGGGTTTGACCAAAGCCAATGAAAGGATTCTTGAGAATCAGTTGGTTATATAGAATTTGCAACCGTATACTATTGTTATCATTTGTAAGTTGTGTGCTATACAAACTTTACATCAGTAAAATTCATGATAAACTTATATACATATATATATGCATGTAATGCCCTCTTCTCCCCAGAGAGCCAGATGTTCAACATTTATCAGCACACCACTGGCTCTAGAACACACATTATTCATGTGTCATTCACAGACATTCACTGGAAGCCAGAGGGGATAGTTAGTCAATGGAGAAATGACTCGGTCACGGTCACACCTCGCAAGCGGCACAGGCGGGACCACATCACAGGTACTCCCAGAGGCCAGCCGGTCTCTCGGCCAGGACCAAACCAGGTTTTCCAGGGCCGCTCCCCCCGCCCCGGGGAGGGGCGGCTTTGGCCTCAGCGCCCGGGAAGTGAAAAGCAAGGGTCGGGGCAGGGGACCAACGGCTAGGCGAGAAGCCGCCCACCGCCAATAGCGGCCCGGGCTGCACTCAACGTCACGCTCCGCCGAGGCCCGCGCGAGCACACCCTGGGGAGGGGGCGTGGTCACAACCTTCCGGAAATGACGCCATCCGGGGGCGGTCCTCGGCGGCGGCGGCGGCGCGCGGCCTGGGCTCGCGCTGGGCTCCGCGCGCCCCCCGCCCCCCTCTATGAGGCAGAGGCCGCGGCGGCCGTTAGCGCTGTCGCTCCGGGGGCCGCGGCGGGCGGGGCTCCGGCGGGGCCCGGCCTAGTCCCCACCCCAGCCCGGCTCCCAGCCGCCCGCCCTCCCTCCCTCTCCCCGATGCAGGGGGCCGAGCTCCGGGATGGCGAGGCGGCGGCGGCGGCCGCTTCGTACCGCGTCCTGAGCCGCCTGCTCGGCTATGGAGAGGCGGCCCCCGAGCCAGGCCCGCCGCCGCCGCCCCCGGGCCATGGCCCCCCGCCGCCACCCTTCCTCGCGCGGCCCGGTCCGCGGGGCTCCCGGCCGCCGCAGCTGATGGTGTTCCGCAACGTGGGTCGGCCGCCGGAGGAGGAGGACGCGGAGGCGGCCCCGGAGCCGGGACCCTCGGAACTGCTGTGTCCCCGGCACCGCTGTGCCCTGGACCCCAAGGCCCTGCCGCCGGGGTTGGCGCTCGAGCGAACCTGGGGCCCGGCGGCTGGACTGGAGGCGCAGTTGGCGGCTCTGGGGCTCGGGCAGCCGGCGGCGCCGGGGGTCAAGATGGTCGGTGGGGGTTGCTGCCCGTGCCCGTGCCCGTGCCCCCCGCAGCCGCCCCCTCCGCAGCCCCAGCCGCCTGCTGCCGCCCCGCAGGCCGGGGAGGACCCCACGGAAACGAGCGACGCGCTACTGGTCCTGGAGGGCTTGGAGTCGGAGGCCGAGAGCCTGGAGACTAACAGCTGCTCGGAAGAGGAGCTCAGCAGCCCGGGCCGCGGAGGAGGAGGGGGCGGCCGGCTTCTGCTGCAGCCCCCGGGTCCTGAATTACCCCCGGTGCCCTTCCCGATGCAGGACTTGGTCCCCCCAGGGCGCTTGGGTAGAGGGGAGCCGCAGCCCCCGCCCCCGCCCCCGCCTCCTCCCGGGCCCCTCCGGCCACTGGCGGGCCCTTCTCGGAAGGGCTCCCTCAAAATCCGCCTCAGTCGCCTCTTTCGCACGAAGAGCTGCAACGGCGGCTCCGGCGGTGGGGATGGGGCCGGCAAGAGGCCTTCTGGAGAGCTGGCTACTTCTGCTGCGAGCCTGACAGACATGGGATGCTCTGCGGGCCGGGAGCTGGACGCGGGGAGGTGAGACTGGCCGGGGGGCTGACTGACAAAACTTCCTTTTCTTGTTTCATTTCCCTTTTATTCTGCTGCGAACATGCTTCTGACGATTCTTAGGATGTGCCTTTCATAAGGAGGCACAGAGACTTAGGGCTAAAGGTGGTGACATCGCCCATTAGGTCAGAGCTAAGTGGGGGAACAGTTTTCACTCTTAGGAAGTTCACTCCGGTGACGTTTCTCAGCTGGTTAGCATCCCTCCAGTTGGGAGATGATTTGAAACCATCCTCCCACCCCCAACCCTGGCCTGGCTTTTAAAGTTTTCCAAGGTGTCTGTCTACCATTATATCTGGTAGGGAGGTTGCTGGAAATGTTTGGTCTTTGGGGCAAAAAGTTGGTGTTGTAACCATTTTGCTTATTATTCTTTCTGTTTACCCCACCCCTTTCACACTCATGCCTACAAATGATGTGACACACGTGCAGTTGTAGGCCAGCAATTGTTTGGGTATCTCTGTTCAACATGTTAATGTTTTCCTGGTTGGTTTCTTAGATATACTTGGTATCTCAAGCCTGTGTGCTGACCACCGTCTGGGAGAATAGAAAATAGTTTGCTCTCAAGCCCATGTGAGTATTCTAAGTGTGAGGTATAGACATGGGTCCGTGAGTTCTAGGTCAGTTGATGAATATTCCAAACTTGGACGTCGATTTTTTTTTCTCTGCATTTCTGAAGGGTGGACAGCACTCTGGCATCCAGTATTAGGTCTGTATATTAGTTTTAAAAGCTCTCAACTTTTGTGTCAAGAAGTGAGACTTCCCTTGTGGTAACTGCCATTGTGGTTTGCACCGCTGAGTGGATTCTGAGCAAAGATTGGAATTGGTTTTGGTGCAGCTCATATGGTGGATTCTTGAGACACACTGGCAACCACAACCCAAGGCTGAAGAACGGGTAGACCAATAGATTTGAGAACTTTACTGTGTACCAGAATCATGTGGGGAGCTTTGGGAAAAGATCAGTATGTCTGAGGGCCCAAGAGTTTAAATTTCTACAAAGCTTCCCACATGACCCTGAAATATGACCTCGACTGGGAACCACTCATCCTTGGACTTCTCCTTTCAGGGGAGTTTGCATGCCCCCAAGAGGAAAGTGTGGGGTCAATTATGACTTAGCTGCCCTTTCTGAACAGTTGTGCCAGAGCATCATCTTGGGAATCAGACCCAACCCAAATTCCCTAAAGAAATCAGTAGGTTGATGTGTGTTGCCCCCGCAGGTAGACCTATGTTTCTGCCTTTGCTTCCCAGTGAACTTATGCTGGGAGCTCAGGTCTTAAAACGTGTGGCTGCCGAAACAGCTTTTTTGTTGTAGGCTCTGCATTCAATGCTCCACTTACCAGTATAGATGAAATTTTCATCAGATGGGGGGAGGGCAGGATTGAATCTGTGGGTAATGACATAGGATAGACTGCTAATTTTCTTGTGGTTTGTCTTGCCTTTGTTCCATACTGACCAGGACTTGGTCTAAGATTCCAGAGACGCCGAATATGAGGTGTGGCGTGAAATTAGCTGCTACGTCTAATAGATTAGGAAGGGAAAAGGCATATAACATTTTACGGTTTTTTGCCTTTGGAAGCAGAATTTAATGGTCATTGGCTGCTCTTTTACCAACCCTCACACTAAGCACAATACAGATTTCTGCTGCAGAGCAAATTGGGCTGTAGCTCTGCAAGGAAGCTTAGTTCAGAGCACTGGAGAATTACATTTTTTGGTCCAAGGGCTTTTTCTGATGAATTGGAGAAGAGCTAGGTATTTGTGTATGAATGCTATTAGGAGGCAGTGTGTTGCACAGAGAACATGAACATCTAGATTCCACTTACAACTCCAACATCTGTGGAACGTAGGCCAATTTTGTCTTCTTCGTGCTTCCTTTTTTTTTTCATCTGTAAAATGGGAGTGATTCTTGTCTTGTTCCTGTCCTTGTAGGAATTGAATGAAGACAAGAGAAATTGAGATGGAATATTTTGTGCTTTTGGAATAAGATTGAACTGGTAATTTTTTTTTTTTTTTAATGCTTAGGATTTGGTGCTGCTAGATTTGCTTGTTAGCTTTTCCACAGCTTACTATGTGCCAGTCTTGTTGGCAGCCTCGCAGCTGTGAGAAACTTGGTAAGTCTGGCTAGGGTAGTTGTGATTTCTATGGATCTGCACCTCCTAAGTCTGCCCTGTTGGGAAGAAGGATGAGTTTGGAATTTTAGGTTGTTCTCTTGTTTTGATTGGTAGGGACCTGGAGGCTGTGAGAAATGTCAGTCTTTTGCCAGAAGGTATATGACCCCCCTTCTTATTGTTGGTTGGAGTTAATTACGAGTCTCTGCAATCTTTGCTGTATAATTTGGGGCTTTTCAGTAACCTCTGGGTATGGTTCTCTTTGCCCTTTTCCACATCTGCCTTTCCCACAGCTCTCACTAGAAAGTACTTCCTGCCGTCATTTTATAAGGCTTAATAGTCTCCATATTTTAACATGAAGCAAACCTTTAGTTCCTTTCAGATGCTTTAGAGTCCTAGATGGACCTGCCTGGATATACTGAGTCTTAACTCTCGTGTGAATTAGCTTAGAGAACCCTTTTCAAGTGAAGGAAGAAATGGGCCCATCGACTAATCAGGTTTCTGTTCTGGAGAACTGGGCTAGGCCTTGTAACACACATATGTTGGAATTCAAAGAGCTGGGCTTGATGCCTGGGGGCCTCGGTGTGATATAGAATTGCTATTTCAGGAAAACCAGTGAAGTTCCCTTGTCTTTTTCACATATGTTGAAATGATTGTCTTCCTTTGTATTTGCTGAGAAATAGCATTTGATCTAACCTTTTAAAATCATCACATAGTACACACATGGTTGGAAATGGGTATACCTTGTTCATTTTTCAAGGTTTGTTTTTTCCGAGTTAACAGTTGAGATTATTTTTGTAATTGTGAGGTGGGAAAAGGGAGAACAGTTCTGTAGTGGTTTCCTATTTGTTTGGAAAAAAGATAGAATTCTGGAAAGAGAGGCAGGCTGTCTTGGCATTAGCCTGGGGCCCTGCTGTCATGGACAGACCTGGCAGACATGAGAAAGCCTTTTCTGTTTCCTCGGGTCTTCAGGTCTCAGGGAGTCTTTTTGAGAAAAAGCCTGACGTGCTGAGAACAAGATGATTTTGTGGTGTGTGCTGAGGAAGTTCTGACTTTGGGTTTGGGTTTTGGGTCCATACTCCATGGATCTTTTCAACTCTCGTGCCACAAAGTGGTTGTGGTTGGCATCTTATCTTTGGGAATGAGCAACCTAACTTCAGAAATCTCTGTCCATTTGAGCCTGTGTCTTTCACTCCTTAACATTTTCCCTGCTAAAATCATTCCAAGGTTTTAGACGTTGGACCACGCCTCTTGGCTTTTCCCTGGAAGTTCCCTCCATAGGTTCTTCAGTTGGCAAATGATGGAGTTTTGGATCTGACCTTGCTGCACAGATGTCTGTGTATTGGAACTACAAATGAACACATGGTTTTTGTGCCTGCAGCACATGAACAGACACTGGCTTATGACGTGTTGGAAATGGCACGGGCTGGCTGACTTGGCACTGGGTGCTCTAGCAGGCGCAGAGGTAAATTGTGGCCATCAAACCTGGCATTTGGACATCCGAGTTTGGGAGTTACTGTAGAAAAGGACATGTTCAAGTCTTAGGACACCAGTAGATGGGGTTTATGGACAAGGGAGAGGGAGGACATCGTTATTTCATGGTTTATATTTTAGGTTTCAAGGAATTTGAAAAGTGGCCAGTGGTTTTATCAATGTGTTGTTGGCCCATCTAGTCTAATGCTTGTAAATTTTATCCCATGGATCTGTTGCCATCCAGTTAGTAATTTACAGAGGCATTCTGTTTGTCATCTGTAGCAGAAGCAGTGGTATAACTGACACAAAGCACTGCTAGCCCCAAAGAAGACCTTTGCCTCAGGTCTTCTGCTGCCTCTGTCCTTTTCTGCCACCTGAGGTATAGCCCACCAGATCCTACCCCACCCTACCTCTCATGTCTTTCTGCTGCTAAGATGCAAGTGGCCCGCTGGTGGCAGAGTTAAAATGACTTAACTTTGCACCCTAATGCTTGTCAGGATGATCTGGGGAGGAATAAAATAACATGGGAATGTAGTATGGAAGGGTTAGTTCAAAATGTTACTGGAGCTGAATCATTCATGTTGTTTTCCCAGAATGGCACATCCAGCTTAGATGGGCTTTTATCGTTTTAAATGCTTCGTGTCTACAAAAGGAGATACATAAAGTGTATGTACTATAATAATAATGAATTGCATACTTGGGTACCCACCACTAAGCTTAGCAAATAGAATGTTATCAGTATCTTTGAAGACCCCTGTGTGTTGCTTCCTGATTACATCTCTTCCCTCCCCCACGTAACTATCGTCCTCAATTTTATGTTAATTGTTCCCTTGCTTTGTTTTTTATAGTTGTCTAGATTGGTCTTTTCATGAATGGCTGCCATTAGAATGCTCTCAGGATCCTTGAGACAGAAACTGCTTTGGATTTTTAGTTAGACAGCGTCTACCTGAAGAGAGAAGGAAGCACTTATTTTTATTATTAGCCTATCAGCCCCCTAGATCTTCTACTCTTCAAGCTTCCAGCCCCGAGGCCCCCTTATTTGCCAGAAAAAGCCATCCCAGGGCTCTCAAATGGCTCTGCCTGTGTTCAGATTCTGATGTATTTCTTTTTCTAGATCCTAGAAACTATGATTTTCTTCTGCAGAATGCCGGGGGTGGGGGAGAAGATGAGCCCCCGCAAGATGTGTGCATTTGGGTACTGCCGTTCTTCAGTGCTTGGCACTGAAGAGCCTCGTCCCCAGCATGGGCAGATGGCAGAGTAATGCAGCTTCCTTTGAAAAGAGGCAAACGGCCAAATGGCTGAGGTGTGAACCCTTTGAGAGGCCAGTGCTTTAGGTTTCTACTTGCTGGGTTTAATGTTGTACCCAACAAGTTATCAAATAAAAATCAGCTTGGAAGCTCTTCAGTCTTAAAGTTCATGTCCAGCAGAATTAACTTTCCATTCCAGCCCTCTGGAGTGTTGGAACTAAGCTGCAGATGGTCAGGGTCAACTTTTATAAACAGAGGAGTCTGTGTGGTTGTGTCGTGTTTTGATGCAGCCATGTCTCCTGTGTGTGCCTTGGGTGGGGCAGGTACAGGGAGCGCCATCATTAGATGAGAAGTCTCAGCATCGAAGAAGTTGCAGAGGGAGTGTGAGAGGAATCCAGCGTCTTGGCTGTTTCTGAGTAAGGTCTTCACAATATGGTTTTGAAATTCTGTTTGAAGGGAGTCTCGAGAAGCTTAGATGTCTGTGTTAAAACAAATGCGTAAAGATCTTCCAAAGTCAAATAATTTAAATAGGGTTTCATTTTGGATTTTCTGTGCGGCTTCTCTGTTGGTGCCTTTGAAGTTTTATTTAGTCCTTTGGGTGAGAGTAATTTTGGAAGGTGAGCCAGGTATAAGGCCTAGAGTCAGGCACTCAGTTCGTGGGTTTTTTCCTTTTCCTTTTTTAAGTCTGGTTTGTCGAGGTATAATTTATGACCGCCTAAAATTCACCTTTTTTTTTTTTTATGTGTCCAGTTCTGTTAATTTTGGCAAGGATATACAGTCATATAAGCTCTGCCACAGGCCAGATAGAGCATATTTTTATCACTTCTGCAAGTTCTTTCCCTTGTAGTCAATTCAGTCATCCTGAGGTGAGGTTTTTGAGCTTAGCACATTTCTGGCCAGAAAGTCTTTGTCAGAGTCTTTTGGATTTCTTTCATTTCTCACTGAAAAGCCAGTTGAAATTGGTACAAAGTGAAGTTACCTTTGGTGTATCTTTTCACAGGAGATCTGGGTTTCCCAGCTGGCTCCCCAGAGCAGGATCAAGAAGTCATGGGGAGAGCCATGTGACTGGCCACTCAGAGAGGGGAAGGGCCATTTTCTTTGGGAGCCAGGCAGAGCCCTTAACTGAGGGGGCCCCCTTGTTAGCTGATGGCTTTGTGCCATGGCTTGGGGCATTTGTGTAGAAATCAGGGATCTTAGTGGTTGAACATTGCCTGTGCTTCTTGTGCCATTCTCAAGACCAAATCTATTCCCTGGTTCCCTTTGGGACCTCTTGCACCTTGGGGCAGGGCCATAGGGAAAGTGTTTGCTCCGATATGACACCTGCTCAGGTCAAGAGCCATTTTCTTGGCTCCCTTATGAAAATCAGCCTTGCATCTGACTTCCTTCCTCTAGAAATGGACTTGCTAATTACCACTCAAGGTGTTTTACTTTTCCATTATGCTGGGTGTGGAGAGATCCAAAGGGATTTCTCATGGCTTTGTAGGCTGAACTTTGTAGGCAAATCTATTTAAGAAATTGCCTGAATTATTTCATTCTCCCCCTTTAAATTTTAGGCTTTATTACAAAAGTGTTGTTGACAGTGACTAGGATTTGCTTGGTTTTTCAGTGCATCTAGAATTGAGTGTCGTAGTGACTTAAATGTATATGTGTTCATTCCCCCATCCTCCCTTATATTCTCTGTGTGCTCTCTCACCCCCTAGGAAACCCAGGTTGACAAGAACTCAAAGTGCCTTTTCTCCGGTCTCCTTCAGCCCCCTGTTCACAGGTAAGGGTGATTGCTCTCTTTTTCTTCTGACCTCCGAAAGCAGGAGTGTTCTGAGACCTGTCTGGGGACACTTGCAGATGCACCGCAGAGCAAGCTTCTGGCGGGCCTGCAGCCACTTCCTTCATTCCATGCCCGCTGGGGTTGGGGTGAGGCTATTTTTATGGTGTGGAATGTGTTCTTGACTTTGGAGTCTTTATAGTTGGAGATAGAGACTGCTGGTAATTAGGTAGCCCTGGCAGGTGCACAGTGCTTCGTCAGGGCCATCATGTATAAATTAAAAGTAGGAATTACAAATTTATAGGCTCATAAAGGACTCTCTAGAAGTCATACAATTCCTGTCCCTGCTTCCAAGGGAGTTCATGGATGATCTAATAAACATGATCCATGATTATCTGGTCTATTTTTAAAGACTTTGGGCAAAGGGGATTATGTGAACTCTTGTCTTACCCATTTTAGGGGCCAGGAGTTCTTGCAGCTGTTAGAGTTCTTCACTGTGTCTAATTTAAGTCTTTCCTATTGCAGCAGGGAACACAGTTGCTCAAGTAGGAAAGTGGTTGAATATCCTTTGGGCAACTGCCTTCTCCTTAATGGGGATCTTGTTCAGATAGGGAGCCTTTTTGTTAGTCAGTCATATATAGAGCTCCTGCTTAAGTAAGTGATAGAGAAGGTCTTTAGCATGCTGCCTCCAGTCTCAGGAACGGAGTACTCCTCATTGTGGCCCAACCAAAAAATCCTAACTTCAAACTCCTTTGGAGATTGTATCCCTCGAAAAGATGACAGGAAGAATTATGATTTAGGAATGGACATGTCCAGAAGATGTTCAGCAGGCTAGTGGGACCCCTGTTACTGCATAGACTGCTGTGAGGTGTCAGAAGAAGTGAGTTGGTGTCTGTAATAGGCACAGGTGGAGAGGGAGGCCTCTGTTCTTACCCGAAGCCCAGAATTAAAGAATCCTGTCCTGTAGCAGCATGTCTTTCTCGTTAATAATTGTTTCCTCTTTAAAGTAAGGAACACTCACCCACATTTGTACTTTCAGGTTTGGTGTTCTTGTTTCAGACAGCCTCAGCTCTCTTGAATTACATCTTTTTTTTTTTAATTACATGTTTTACTTGAGTGCTATACCTCGGGGCGCGTTGCTGGCTCAGTCAGTTAAGCGTCTGCCTTCAGCTCAGGTCATGATCCCAGGTCATGGTCCCATGATCCCAGATCGAGCCCCACATTGGGCTCCCTGCTCAGCAGGGAGTCTGCTTCTCCTTCTCCCTCTGCCCCTACACCCGCTCGTGCTCTCTCTCTCTCTCTCTCAAATAATAAAATCTTAAAAAAAAAAAAATAAGTGCTATACCTATCGTCCAGATCTCTGACCCTTCAGGAAACACACTTGTCTGAGCTCACTGCATTGCTCTGGGCTGCTAGGCTCTCAGTGACTAAGCTATGTGTTGAGTCTGGGCCCAGCTTCCCAGAGCTTCCACTGATGACTTTTAGTAGAGCTTTCTTTTTTTTCTTTCTCTCTCTCTCTTTTTTTTTTAAGATTTTATTTTTTATTTTATTTTGACAGAGAGAGACACAGTGAGAAAGGGAACACAAGCAGAGGGAGTGGGAGAGGGAGAAGCAGGCTCTCCGCTCGGCAGGGAGCCCAATGTGGGGCTCGATCCCAGGACCCTGGGATCATGACCTGAGCTGAAGGCAGACACTTAACAACTGAGCCACCCAGGCACCCCTCTTTCTTTCAGTAAACTCTGTGCCCTACATGGGGCTCGAACTCATAACCCTGAGATCAAGAGTCATATGCTGTACTGACTATGCCAGCCAGGTCCCCCTGGCAGAGCTTTTCTGCTTATCTTAATTAGTGCTCAAGACCTTTGTAAAAAACTGTGTATTAGATTGTGAAAGCCCAACTCTTGACCTTTTAGAGATACTGGTTACCTCATTTTCTTAACTGGGAAATAATAAAATTCTAGCTGAGGAGCTAATTCAGCCTCCTGAATGAGAAAAAGTTGTTGGAAGTAACACCCTAAGGGCCAAATTAGAGAAATCTTGAGAGGCCTCCCCCTGTGGGTCAGACCTACCAAAACTTGTGAGTCAGCCTTTGTTATATAATACCCGTTACCCTCTGGTGACTGAAGTGGAGAGAGGGTAGATGGGCTTGGATGGCAAGAAGGAGGGTATATGCAGAGAACAGAACTGCATGATAGGCCGGAAATAGGAGAAACCATGTGCCATCCCCCATCAAGCTCCTCTGGAGCTTACCTGATTTGGCTGACTGTGGAAGTAGTTCATTGCACTTTTTGGCCTTTGTAGCCTTAGCTATTAGGAGTCAGTTGATATGCGAAAGGGTTGGTTCTCTTATGAGTGAATATTCTGGAAAATTTAGATGTAGAAAGCTATTTAGGAAGAAGTTGGGGCTCACCTTGGGACCTTTTATCTGCATTCAGGTTACCATGCAATTCTTACATTTTTCTGGCACTTGCTTTCCATGTCCATTTGGACTTGTAACAAGCTGCTTGCCTTGCTCCCTAAGGCAGAAATTGGTACACACATCTGTAAACATAAATGCTGTGAGTTCCATTTGAATAAAGACCCCTTGTTAAGGTTACGTAGTCAGTGGCACAACCACAATTAATTGGCCTTTCCACTGTTAATTCTATGTTTCTGTCCTAAAGAATCCTTGACCTTTAACAGGACCGAGAAATGATAGAATTTAAAATTGACTTGCCAGGTGTTTGGGGGTGATTCCAGCTCTGGGAAGCATTAGGTTTTGAGATTTTTGAGAGCCGGAGACCTCTAGCCTCCCTTGCTTGCCCTTTGCTTTCCTTTGCTTTCGACTTCAGCTGTGGGCAAGGTGCTTCCGTAACATGCTTGGTCTGTGAATCCCTCAGGTGAAACTGTGTCACTTGTGGACGTGGACATCTCTCAGCGGGGCCTGACCTCTCCACACCCTCCAACTCCCCCTCCTCCTCCGAGGAGAAGCCTCAGCCTCCTAGGTATAGTCTCTGCCCCTCTCTGCCTTCTTGCCCTAGTGGGAGGGGGTGAGCTCTAGAGACCTGTTGTTCTTTTCCAGGACTGGGTTTCTAATAATGACCCAATTATTCCCTGTCCCTTTCTCAGCACCCTTGTCATCTCCCTAAGCAGTTAAATGGGTGTCTTACCTGCATGCTGTAACATTTACTGTCCATATGTTGATTAGACCTGTATTTATCTTGCCCCGAATCTACCGCTAGTCGACTGCTTTAGGAATATCCTTACATTTCTGCTTTCAACAAAAGGAAACCAGATTAAGATGATTGTTGCCTCTGTGCAAAAAGACAGGGTGAAGGTCAGGCCATCTTGCTCCAGAGGGCAGCCTGATGATCCTTCTCCCTCTCCTCTGCTTCACCTCACTCACCTGTGCTCATATTTCTGAACCTCTTGCTTCTGTTCTCTCTTCTAGATGATATCAGTGGGACGCTGCCTACATCTGTCCTTGTGGCTCCGATGGGGTCTTCCCTGCAGTCTTTCCCCCTACCTCCGCCTCCTCCACCCCATGCCCCAGGTTAGCTTAGTTTAGAGGCAAGCCTTGTAAAAGTTGGGAGTACAAAGTAATATACTCTTGAAGGATGGGAGACGTCTATTTATGGAAATAATAGGACTTATGAGAAAGCTTAAATCTTATCCCCTTGGCTGGGCCGGAACTCCTTGGAATTGAGGCCAAGAAGTGGTTTTTCTAACCCATTTTCCCTGTGGAGGTGAATCTGACTTTTGTTAGGGATAAAAGACTATTGAATTTCTCACCTCTTTGCTGCCGAACCTGCTTTGCGGTCTCTGAGTAGATCTCACTTAGGAGACTGCCTTAATTTCCTAATGGTGAGGAGGTTTAAAGTTTTCAAAGTTCTCTGGTGTTTCTAAGCTTTTAGTATTTACTGCAGCCTTGTAAATAAGTACCAAGCATTTAGTAGCCCATACCTGCTTTGCCAGCCTCCAGTCCCCAAGGAGTAAAATGAATGAAATCAGCATTCTTTTCCACTTGCCTGGCAAAATCGTTCCTCTTCCTGGGCAAGTAAGCGAGTCACTATTTCCAAGGCTGCTTTACCGGCGCTTCACCTCGAGGTGGGAGAAGCTGGAATCGCTCTAGGCTGGTGAAGCCCCTGAAGTAGTCACCTTAGTCAGGTTAGTGAGCAGCTCCCCTAGCCCTCTCTTGGGGTCAAACGCCCCCACCCATCCTTCACAGCTTACACGAGCCCACACAGCTTTTTGTTACAGCCCATCCAGCTCCTTTCCACTGCTTTGGCGTCCACCCTTTCCAGCTTAGCTTCTAATGCCTTGCCCCTCTTCAGTTAGCATTTCTGTTTTGCGGGGAGGGTCTGCTTGTGCTTGGGAGCCGGGAGGGTGAACAAGTGACCGCCACTCTCTTGCCCGGCAGATGCATTTCCCCGGATTGCTCCCATCCGAGCAGCTGAATCCCTGCACAGCCAGCCCCCCCAGCATCTCCAGTGTCCGCTCTACCGGCCTGACTCAAGCAGCTTTGCCGCCAGCCTTCGAGAGTTGGAGAAGGTAGGCGGTGCCCGGAGACTGGCGGCTGGCCTCCTCTCCCACTCTCCTTCTTCTGTCCTGGGCTCTCCTTGTCTTATTTTTAGAGGAAGAGTAGTTCTCTTGCCTCTATATTTACAGTGCCAAAGCAATATGCTGCTATGATCAATTCCATAAGGGACGTTGTAAAATGGAATCTTGGAGAAAAACATTTGAATGTGGTGAAGAACGGTTGTGGAGAACTGTTTACTTAGTGGAAGCTGACTTTGACAGATTAACTGACCCAGTTCCCTCTCCTTTTCTTTGTCGGGCCCTGGTAATGGGACTGTCAGCTTATTCTTCTGTTACTCTGGAGGGGTAAAATGAATGAGCCTGCTGTTCATTGCTAATGGTTAAGACACTCTTAGCAGCTCTTGCCTAGTGAAATGTTTTAGAAGTGATGGGAGGGTGGGGATTCTCCTGCGGTAAAATCGATAGTGCTGAAAACGTGCATCTTTCCCCCATGCTGTGAAGTACTTGACCACTTCTTGTCTTTGATAGTGTGGTTGGTACTGGGGACCAATGAACTGGGAAGATGCAGAGATGAAGCTGAAAGGAAAGCCAGATGGCTCTTTCCTGGTACGAGATAGCTCTGATCCTCGTTACATCCTGAGCCTCAGTTTCCGGTCACAGGGTATCACCCACCACACGAGAATGGAGCACTACAGAGGTAAGAGATGCTGCTCTTTGGGGAAAGCCTTCTTCCCCCTTTGCCGGTCTCTACTCTTGCTATCTGGCCTTTTTGCGGGAAGGTTTTATAGAAGTGGAACTACAGATAGGGAGGAAAACCTCATACTCCGTTGAATGTTGTTATGGGTACTGGTTTCAGTCCTAGAAGGAATATTGGCAGGGGTAGGGAGGAAGGTGAGGGTTCTGTTGAAAAGTATTCTCAGCATTTCTCTCCAAAAGAGGAGGGCCTGAACAAGACGGTCAAACAGAGCAAAGCCGGTAGAATTCTCTTGATAGAAGGAAGAAATAACCTAGGACCGTTCCACAAATTCTCCCAAGCTCCGTTCGTAATTAGACTTGATGCGTGATGTCGCTTCAACTTTCACCCCTATGTAGGTAATTGCTGTATCTGTATCTCATAAAGAAAAAATAATTAGACTTAACATCTAGAGAGACTTCTATTAAATCCTGTACACAAAGAGGAGAATTTAGTGTTCATCCTGTGACTGTCCTGTAAGTGAATTTCTTTGCCTGAGAGTCGCATCGGCTCTTCCTGCCAGACAGCATGGTGATAATTTCTTTAGGTCACCTATGTGGTCTCTTAGGAAATAGTCATCAGAACTCAGAGACTTTGTGGGATCAACATGCTTTAGACTATCTGCCTTCCTTCCTGGGGGGTCCTTCCTCCTCTGTGGTCAGCTGGTGCTGAATGCTATGGTCGTGTATAGAAGCTGATTTGTTCAACCCTGCTGTCTGGATTGACTTTGCATCGTGGCATTCTGTGTTTGACCTGGGCCAGAAACTCGTGACGGTCAGCAGTGGCAGGGCTGGGTACTACATCCTTTGGCTCCGAGTAACTGCCTGTGTTACAAATTTGAAAAGTGGAGAGAACTTTCGGGAGTTTCAGGGATCAGCCTTAAACGAGCTGTGTTAGCCACAGCCTCAACAAGCAAGAGTCTCTTGCAGGCTCTTCTCAGCCCCCACCATGTCTTTTCTGCTGTCAGCCATGTTGTGCTGTATGTATCTGGTTTGCTTCTCACGTGGGGCAGAAAGTAGCGTGTTAGGCCAGCATAGCTTTGTCCATGGTTTCCTCTGTCTCCACCCCTGCCTTAAAGGTGCATGAAGAGAGAGGGCCTTCAGTCCACAGACCTGAGAATTAGTTAGATAGCTGTGGCCTAGCCTGCTGCCCCCTCTCCCGCTATTTCCAAAGGCCAAAATCAAACCAGCAGAAAAACACCATGCAAAGTAAAGCATTTTCAAATGAAGTATTTTTTTTTTTAAAGATTTTATTTATTTATTTGACAGGGGCACAGCGAGAGAGGGAACACAAGCAGGGGGAGTGGGAGAGGGAGAAGCAAGCTCCCCGCTGAGCAGAGAGCCCAATGTGGGCCTCGATCCCAGGACCCTGGGACCATGACTTTAGCTGAAGGCAGACGCTTAACGACTGAGCCACCCAGGCGCCCCTCAAATGAAGTATTTTTATAAATCTATGAAAATGATGAATGACTAGGCCATGAGAATGAGGAATAAATGCCTGACCTCTAAGGTCCCTGATAGGCAAGAGGCCGGTAAGGAGAGAACCTTCAAATGGTGCTCCAGTTACTTTTTGTTCAAAGGGGCTTTTCTTCCTCGAATAAATGGAATTTTTAATAGAAGCCTTGTGGGTCTTTCAGTTGCCAGTTTAATGGAGCATTTGTCTTCATCTTTTTAAGTGATGTTGTAAGAGTAGCTAGAGAGACTCAAATCTGTAGTTCTCTTGGATTCCGTCCCTTTTGTGGGTGATTCCTTTGCATTTAGTGCTTGAGTTTTTGGTTTGTTTTTAGTCATGGAGTTCAGTTTCCCTTTTGCTTTTGGGACTTTAAAATTTTGGGGTGGGACCTTTGCAACATACTGTGGGGGGTGTGAATTGAGAAGTTAAAGAAGAAAAGACTTAGAATTTGATGTTTTGTGCGTAACACCTGAATGAGTGAGACTTGCAAAACCACTCTTCCTTTCTTGCCTCGACTACTCCATGAATGCTTGAACACAGAGTTTCTTGAGGGGATGGCATTTCAGCTGGCTTTTGCTGTGGCAGTCTTTTTTTATGGTCTGTGATTTAAGGATTAGTGTTCATACTAATGTCTTATTAAAGGTGATTTCTTCCTTTCCATTCATTGTGGAGCAAACAGGAACAGGCGTCTTCAGGGACCTCTGTCTGACAGCTTGACCACAAATGACCCTCCCAGAATTGTGAATCGTTTCAATGGTTAAGTGAGCTTCCCAGATGTCTTAAAAGTAAGTTTTTACATCTTTACCTCTCCCTAATTTTCCATGGCAGGAACTTTCAGCCTGTGGTGTCACCCCAAGTTTGAGGATCGCTGTCAGTCAGTGGTGGAGTTCATTAAGAGAGCCATCATGCACTCCAAGAATGGGAAGTTCCTCTATTTCTTGAGATCCAGGGTTCCAGGTAAGGCTAGAGTTACATTAATTATATAACTTACTTGGGTATGATGCATTATAGTATCAAAATGTGTCCCCCTGCCTCCCAGAAAAAGCCACACTTACTTGAAGCCCTTTTTCCTGGCTCTTCCTGGAGTCCAGTGGTTAATCTCCTGCTCTTGTACATTAATCCTTCAATGTACTGAGAAGGAATCTTTGCTTTTCTGAACACACGAATGAGAAAATGGATCCCATCTCTGCTGCCCGGGCGTCATGTGAATATTTAACATTCAGAGGTGTCTCCTTGTCCCTGATCCAGGCATCTCATGCTTCCATGTGAAGCAGAGAGGTGAGAACTTGCTCAGGTCATTTCTACGGGAACAGGGAAGGTAAAAAAGTATTCACTAGAAAGGCCACGGTGAGTGTCAAGGAGGCTGAATTCAATGACAGTCTGCTGTGGATTTTGTCCATTCATACTGAACTTGCTGTTAAAGAGTAGATGGTTCTTGTTGATTCTTATATCTCTACTGGCATTAAATATAAAGACATCTCTCCATTTGGGAGCTTTGGAAGTTCTGTTCCCATCCTTGCTGGCATCGTTATATAGTCTTTCTGCCCACTAAGTAGGGAGCTAGCTATCTAATCTCTCCCGAAGGGAGAGAAGGGATGGTTTGGAGGAGTCTGTCTGCTTTTATAGGGTTGGGGAAAAGCAAAATGACAAGCATATTAATTGAGGAATTTGTAAGATACAAACAGAACTTAAAATGAGAACTTTATGCGTTCCCAGTGAATCAAATTGAGATTCTTAAACAAACTGTGTGCCAAGAAATTGCTTTAAAAAGAAGTTCCAGGGGAGCCCCAGGCAGAACATCAGTAACAGGATTGAACCAGGTTACAGGAATGCGTTTTATAATCTTGGTGATTTAAATAAGGCATGACAGGGTGAGAACTGTATTAATTCTCACTTCATTTCATATTTGCTTCAGTGCTGTCAACACAGTTGGGTCTCATGCAGTTGACTTGGTTAAAGGGAAAAGTTAGAATCCTTTCTTACAGGAATTGACTCTTTAGTAATTTTTAAAGTTTGTGGCTTGTGGAGGTTATTTATTTAGCAAGCATTTATTCCGTAACTCGGTATCAAAAATAAGCCATATTTCTACCCTCAGAGATCTCATGGCCTCAGAGAGAGGACAGGTAGGAAGATAAAGGCAAGAGCACACGTAGGACTCAGTACAAGGCAGGGCGGTCAGTGGTGGGTGATTGACAAGGGTGGGGAAGCAGCTCTGTTTGTGGGTGAACCAGGGAAATCCTCTCAGAGGATTCTGGAGTCTGAAGCATATATCTACTTGTAGAGTATTTGAGAGACTTGGACTCTACTGTAAGCTCATTTCATTCTACAAATGTGCCCTGCCTGCAGAAATTTTAACTAAGATTCTTAACATCAGTAAGGGTTAGAACTTGTAACAGTTGCTACTATTTATTGACTGTGTATCCTCTGCCAGTTACTTTGTCAGGTTCTTTATTTAAACAGCTCTCATTTCAAAAAAAAATAAAAAAAATAAACAGCTCTCATTTCTTACAACAACCCAAAGTTAGCAAATAGATTGGTCTATTTATAGATAAGACCTTTTTCATTTGACAGTGAAGAAACTGAGGCTGAGGCTCAAATGTGAAGTCACTTAGCTGATCAGTGCTGAAGTCAAGAGTTCAAACCAAGGCTCAGCTGACTCCAAATCCTGTGCTTTATTTGCTACCAGTCTGTTACTGGGGAAAAGTAACAGCAAGCAAATTGAAAGCTGAGTTTGCTGAGACTTGTGGAGACTACATAAGGAAGTCAGAAGTGTGTTTATTAGTGGAGGGTGTCTTTTTAGGACCTATGAGGAATGCTACAGAGAGGATATCTACTTGCACTTAAAATTGTAATCAAACTGAGAAGGCAAAGCAGAGTTAGTATTTGCTCCTAGACCCTATGTGACCTCTCTTTGAAGGACTGGGACAAAAGGCCAAGTCAGTGTTCTCCCTTACCGTGGTTTGCTGTCCTCCTTTGCTTGTCATAAAAGTCTAGGCATTCTGTGAGGTTGATTCTGTGAGCGACTTGGTGTGAAGAAGAGGTAGGGATTAGCATTTGAGTTGAGCTTTCTCAACCTGCACCAGGGATTTTAACTCAGTAGATTCCAAAAGGAGCCTGTTTGTTGAGACTTTGGGATGATAACTGAATGCCTACAAGGGGCCACGGATTATTTGATTTAGCCCTTACAAAATCCTTTAAAGGGATACTACAGTCTCTTTTCTTTCTTTCCTTTCGTTCTTTCTTTTTCTGATACAGATTAAGAAACTGAGGTACAGTGGGGCGCCGGGGTGGCTCAGTCGGTTCAATGTCCTACTCTTGATCTCAGCTCAGGTCTTGATTTCAGGGTTTTGAGTTCGAGTCCCACATTGGAGGCCAGCATGGAGCCTGCTTAAAACACACACACGCACGCACGCACGCACGCACACCCACCCACCCACCCACCAACTGAAGTACAGTGAGTTGCAGAGCCAGGATTCAAAGTCAGGTTGTCTTTCCAGCTCAGTACTAGAGCTGACTGCACTAACAGGGCCTGCAGACTGGTGTTAAAGGGATGCGAGGGATCATAGGAATCATAAAGTTAGGACTAATGGAAAGGTTCTGGATGGTGGCAAGTAAGAAGCAGAAGGAAGGACATGAGTTAGAATAAATGGAGTAGTTGGCATCAAAGGAGGGACACTTAGTAAAAATAAAAATGATGGCACCTGATCTTAGTTTCCCCCTATCTCTTTTTAGTAGTGGAGCATAGTCATAACAAATCCGAGGTCACTGTTTGCATCTCAGTCTGGGCCATTCCACAGTTATAAACTAAACTCCTAACACCACCAGGCAGCAGTCTCAAAAAGAGAATATGATGGGATTAGCACAGAACCCTTGATGCTGTTCGAGCCAAAACTCAAAGTGAGCATATCCTTCTTAGCTGAGGGGGATCTTCATCATCTGTGAAGTGCATGAAGAGAAAATACTTTTTTAAAAGATTTTATTTTTAAGTAATCTCTACATCCAACACAGGGCTTGAACTCACAACCCTGAGATTAAGAGTTTCGTGCTCCACCAACTGAGCCAGCCAGGTGCCTCCAATACCTTTTGTTTTTTAATTGTACTTTGAATTGCACAACTCTAAGGAAAATTGGTCTCTCTTTTGTAACCATCATTAATCTTATAATTATTTGTTTTGTTCAGTGACAAAAACTTCTCTGTATCCCAGGATTTCTTAATTCTGCACTATTGACATTTTGGCCTGGAAAATTCTGGTCTTCAGGGAACAGTTTGGTTTGGCAGAAAGATCTATGTGTGGGGCTGCTCAGACTTGGAAGACATGTGTCACCCCTAACCTGGTCCTTGTTGGGGGGAGAAAAAAACAGTTAAGTGGCTGGAAACTGGATTGGTGCCCAGGACCCGTGGTATGAAGGACCAGAAGAAGGTTCCTGATGATCACTGTCCACCTCGCCCTTTCCCTTTCTGCTGTCCTGGTGTCTTATTTCAGATTTATTTCCATTTCTGACCTCTTCTGTTAACATGCTCTGGATGTGAGAGCTCCAGTTGTTTGCTGTGTTTGGGGCAAACAGTAAATGGTCAGGTTGACAGCAGGAAATATCAGAGAATTAACAGGTTTCAAATTGCTATTTGTGAGCCTAAGGCTAAAACTAACACAATTAAATAGGCAAGTATATATGGTCATTAAAATTCAAGTAGGCACACTGTCAGATAATTTTATGCTGCTTATTATCCTGATCTCTTTAAGCACAAGTCCGCTAGTACTGTGTCTTTGGGAATAAATAATTAGATACATAAATTACCTTTATCTCTGAAACATCATGTTGAACTTAGCATTATTACAACCCACCCCCAAAAGCTTTTTTGTTTGCCATAGTTTAATTTACTAAAGAATATTTTTTAAAACATATGAGAGAGAGGGTAAATTCAAAGAGGCCTTTGAACCCAGTACCATTTTAAAACCACTTGAGTTTAAATATATTCAAGAGAGAAATTCATGTGTGATTTTTTTTTTTTTAAATAGTGTATGAGTGGAGAGGACCAGTCACGTGGGTGGAGGAGGCTACTGTGCTTCCAAGGATAAAGCCCGAGGATTGAAGGGGTAGGAGCAAGGGGAGGAGTGAGAGAGGCCAGTCATGAATCGAAGTGCTGGGGCTCTCCTGGATAGCGCCCCCAGCAGGCAGCAGAGGGGCAGGTGCTCTGGGGAGACAGAACTGAAGAACCCTCCTTTGAAGTTCTGTGGGCTCAGCTCTTCCTCAGACAGAGCCAGGTGCTCATGGCAGGCTGGCTTTGTTGGTTCTGTACTGCGAGCAAGTTCTCTGAGCCCCCAGTAGACCTCAGTTTCTTCATATGTGAAATGGGGATAATTGTGATACCTACCTCAAAGTATAGTTTTGAAGACTAAATGAGTTAAATGTTTTTAAGTCAAGCCTGCTTGCTTAGTAACAGTATAATATGTATGTTGACTTTTTTCATTTTTAGAAAGTCTGTTATCAATGACCATGCAAAGCCTCTGGGAGACAATCTGCAAGCTTTAATTTTTTCTTCTCACGCCTTCAAACAAAACTTAAAAGTGTTTGAAATTAAACTCCTAAAACAGTAGTAGACCGATAAGTTGTGCCTACAGAATTTCTTTTGATAGGACAGCGACTGAGAAAAGAATTCTTTAAAAGATTTTGTAGCTCAGATTCTTTCTGAGAGCAGTTTGCTTATTTACGTGCTGTAGCCCCTTTGTTTATTGAAACCAGAATATTCTTTGTTCCCTCGGACCAGTTTCAGTGTCCCTGCCATTGTGGACGTTTCTGTTCTGTGGCACTGACCCCTGGCGTGGGCGGGGTGGGGGCTGGAATTTCCCAGCACCAAGCCCGCTGAAGTTGATGAAAGCAGGGTGTGGGGCTCCCATTGGGCCTGGCTGGCATCAGTCAGAAGGCACTTTGGCACTGAGTGGTACTAATTCCAGCTTCCCCAAGCTACTGTTGTTGCTTTCCTTTTAAAAGCATCATCTTTTTTTCTGTTCCTAGACCCAGCCTAAAACTTCAGGAGCAAGGAGGGGTTGGAGGAGGAGAAGCGGGGGGTGGGGGGCGGTATGGGAAATAAGAGGTGGTTAAACCCGCTGGTCCTGGCTTGAAGTAAATGGCAGGAGTGATAGGCTTGTAGCCTTGATCCCAGCCATTGCCTTCTGCTTACCAGCCTCTTAGTTGGGATTGGTTGGGGACTCCTCTAAGCAGCCTTTCTGAGTTCTCCCCTTCAGGATGCTGCTAGATGTGCTCTCGCAGTATCCCCCATTCTTAGCAGGGGTGCTTTGATTCCTGCTCTTCACGGAGAGCCTCAGGCCTGGGATTGGCCATGTGGCTCCAAGTAAAGTCCTTAGCTTGGTGGTTTTCATTGGGCTATTCTGAAGAGCGAGACTCTTAGCTGTGAAGAATAGTGCTAGGGAGGCCCCTGGCAGAGCAGAATCGAGTGTCTTGAGTGAAATACAGTGGTAATGCTCCTGCAAATGGAAATCAGCAGTTCTTTGTGGAAAGGAGCTTTTGCACAGAACGCACATGTGAACTATAAAGAAGCCCGACTTCCCTTCCCTGGATTCGCTTCATAAGGGGAATTGTAGTTAGCTGCAGTCCTTCTGAATATGTCCTTGGTTTTCATTCTTGAAGGACTGCCACCAACTCCAGTCCAGCTGCTCTATCCAGTGTCTAGATTCAGCAACGTCAAATCCCTGCAGCACCTTTGCAGATTCCGAATCCGACAGCTCGTCCGGATAGATCACATCCCGGATCTCCCACTGCCTAAGTACAATGGGGTCTTTCGGGTCGGGGCAGGAATGGAGGCTTAGTTAGAAACGTGAGTGAGGCCTGCCAGCTGCTAGCACAGGCGGAGCCTGGCGCTCTTCACAGGCATCCTCCTTTCACTTCTCGCGTGTCTTAGCACCTAACTCTAGAAGTGTCACATGGCAGCCAGAAGGGAGGAAGGTGTGAGCGTGAGCGTGAGCGTGAGCGTGAGCGTGAGCCTCCCTCTGCAGTCTCTACGAAGAGTGGCATGGAGGTGGTAAGGGGGAGGGAGACAGAGCTATAACAAGCGAGAATGGGGCAGGTTTCTTCAGTCAGCCGCGTTTTTTTGTGTAGTCACAGCCGTACAGGGGTTGAAGAAGTAGGAAGGCTTGAACAAAGGTGGTCTTCTGTTTATGGTCTTTGTAAATAACACTTTATGTGTATCCCTCGTGTGTTTTTCACAGACCTCTGATCTCTTATATCCGAAAGTTCTACTACTATGATCCTCAGGAAGAGGTGTACCTGTCTCTAAAGGAAGCGCAGCTCATTTCCAAACAGAAGCAAGAGGTCGAACCCTCCACGTAGCGAGGGGCCCCTGCTGATCGCCACCAAGGGTATGAGCTGTCTGCCTTACTGTCCAGCCAAGTCTCTGCCTCAACAGTTACCGTCATGTGCTGGGCCTCACCCTCCTCCCCCACACCCCATGTGTATACTCCGGATCCAGGTGTCTGCCCAGAGAGTCACCAAATCTGATAACGGGGTCCCCAAGGGGGCACATACACCAAATGGGAGAAGAGCAGACAGACAGGAGGGGCTTAAAAAGTATTTGCCAAGCAACATGCAAGCTAAGCACCGAATATAAATGAGGAGAACACACAGTGTAGCTAAGTGTGGGGCCTTCTCTCATACTCTGGCCCCTCTCCCTGCTGTTGCACAAACGACATGTAAAACAGGAAACCAGAAAGGAGGAAAAGGTCATCAAAGGGAGTGCAGGCCCCCTTTCATTTGCAACAGGTGTGCACTTGAGTGAGAACTTCCAAGGCCAGTGGCGTGGAACGTGGGGGTGAGGAAAACAAGCTCACTCTTCTAGTTAGAGTTCCATCTGGACCACTGGAGAGTAAATTATTGAAAAGGATAAGTGAATTAGCTAAGGAATTCATTTATCTAAGAGGCTCTTCTCCCGTCGCTACATTAACTGAATTCTACTCATTTATTTTCCCCATAAAATATCTTGGAATACTGGTTTGTGCAGATTGATTCTAATTGGTCTTTTAAACTGCCTTCATGTAGGCATTGAAAGATAGAGGTGAGTAGGGAACAGAATTGCCAGAGAGTTGTAATTTTGGTAGTGTGGGTTACATGTATGATCACATGTAACATTCTCGTGATCTGCCAGGTGTGGTGACCCCCATCTCTCCTCTTTGTGCGGACTGCCCTCCTGTAGCACTGAATATGTCTGCTTCTCCTCCAACCTTCTCTGTTCCCCAGTGCTGTCTCCCACGTGATACAAACTAAGGGAAAAAAACCCGCAGAGTGACGGTCTGAGAATGAAGGGAGTCTTCCATCTCTCCACGCTCTCTGCTCTCTGCATAACTGGAGAGTGTGTTGACTGGCGTTTATGACCCACGGGTTTTCCTGGGCCGTGGCTAAGGTGAACCCAGCTGGGTGCCTCCCTTCTTAGCTCTGGAGGTCCCTGATCCTATGCTTGGGGGAAAGTACGTGAGCTGGGCTAATAAGGATTAACAAGGGGTGAAGGAATGAAAGGAGAGATCAAGAAGTCATAACTCTGGGAGGCTGCAGAGCTTTAACTTAAAGCATCCTGGACGGGGTGTACAATCTCTTGTCATATCTTCAATTACATGCAAGTTGTATGCCCTTGGAAGTGACACCTAAAACATCCAAATGTTCTGATGTCTGGGAGGATTTCTCTGCTTGGTAGCTTTGCAGCTGAAATTAGGATGGGAATTAGGTAGGAGGGAACCAGGGAGGCGCGCCTACACAAACGCACCGTTGTGGAGTAATTAGGACCCATTAGTTAGAGCACCACCTCGGTGGGTGCTCAGGAGGAACCCTCCCAAACAGCACATTCAGAGGTGGACTCAGAGTATGGTGGAGGGTTCCCAGCTTCAGCATATGGGGAATAAATGACTAACACGGAGCAGAGAAGTTTCAGGAGGAGAGGGGCTTGCTAGCTGAAAGTAATGCAAAGGAGGAGTGGTTAAACTTATGCTGTGTGGCGCCAGGGGCAGGACAAGGGCCACGATTGATGTAAGATAGGAGGAGTTCGACTTCAGTCCCACTTCAGAAGAACTGTTTTAACAGAGAGGTCCAAAAGCAGAGTGGTTTTCCACAGGTCTTAGGGAGCTCCCCATTTGGCTTTGCCTTTAGCAGCTCTGCCTGCTTGTTAAGTACCCAGTGTGGATTGGGAAGAGTGTGCTGAGCGAGGTGATTTGTGGCCCTGACCTCGCTGAGCTGCAATTCTCATAAGGAGAGATGGACAGCAAACATGTAAAGAAGTGAATAGGCTAATTTCAGTTGACCATACATGTTATGAGGAATAAAACCTGGTGAAGTTTAATGACTAGTGGTGGGATAGTGCTACTCAAGTTTGGATGATCAGGGAAGGCCCTTGTGAGGAGGCGTCATTTCAGCTGAGATCTGAATTATCAAAGAGTCACCCATGAGAGGATCTGGGAGCAGAGCATTCTGGGCAAGGGGTCCAGTAAGCATAAAGGCCCTGAGATGGGAAGGGACTTGATCTGATGAGGTATAGGCCGGGGGTAGCCATTTGTCATGAGTATGGGGGGCAAAGGATTGAACTAAACGCCCAGGGTCTCTTTGCTGTGTGTGACACCAGGATTGTTGTCTGTGGCAAAGAATAAGCAGCATGCTGTCCTCACTCCTGATTTAGACCTTAGGGCCCCATCCCACGTCCGGCTCCCTGCTAGTGGGGAGTCTGCTTCTCTCTTTCCTTCTACCCCCCCACTTGTGCTCCCTCTCTCTCAAACAAATAAATAAAATCTTAAAAAAAAAAAGATTTTATTTAAGGAGAGAGAGAGCGAGCAGGGAGAGGAAGCGAGAGAGAGAATCTCAAGCAGACTCTGTGCTCAGCTCGATCTCACGACCCTCAGACCGTGCCCAGAGCTGAAATCGAGTCAGACGCTCAGGGCACCTGGGTGGCTCAGTTGATTGGGTGTCTGCCTTCGGCTTGGGTCTTGATCCTGGAGTCCCGGGATCGAGCCCCACATGGGGCTCCCTGCTCAGCTTCCCCCCGCCCCTCACCTCGCTCGTACTCCCTCTCTCTCTCGTTCTTGCTCTCAAATAAATAAATAAATAAATAAATAAAATCTTAAAAAAAAAAAAAAAGTCAGACGCTCAACCAACTGAGCCACCTAGGTGCCCCTTTTTTCTTTCTTTTTTAGTCCCTGGAGCAGGTGAGCCTCGGGAAAGAAGTGGGGAGAAAAGTGGGTGGAAAATTAAGGGGTAAGGGAAAGGGAAAGAGAAGTGAGGTGATATGATACAATATATTTGTCAGTTATTTTAGGACCTTTTTTGGTGTCCAAGTCCTGGGCTGCTCAGGTCCCCCAGCAAATGCTGTTGCTACATCCTGAGCCAGCACCAGTGTTTGTGGAAGTCTTTGGCTATCCAGATTCCAGCTCTCCTTTTGAGCTGTACTTTTCCACCTCCAGAGGCTGAGCTCTTCTCCATTTGGCTCCACTCCATTGAGCTGCTCTCATTTTTTTCCTTTTTCACCTAGGCATTTGGTTGCCAAGCTCCAGTTCTGAAGAACCAAATGAAGCTACTGTGGAAGGGGGAGTGAGGAGAAATGAGGGAATTGGAAGGGCTGAGTTCCTCCGTGCAAAGACTTTGGTCCCCCTTGCAGTCCTGGGGCTTGGAAGAAGCACACAACCACACTCTCTGCGTGGGGGCTCCACCTCTTCACATCCATCCCCCGCGGTATCCTGGAACTGGACGAGCTCCTTGGAAAACTGGAAGAAGTCTCAACACTGTTCCTTTTTTAGAAGTTTTGTTTTGGATATTTGCATTTCTCGGTATGGAAAACTTCCTTTAAAGGCAGCTGGGGTTCGTGCCCATTGGACTGGAAGTGGTGCCAAGGGTGAGCCAGGTCCAAAGGCGGGGAGGGGAGGGAGGGGATTGCCAGTGACGGTCGTTCAGCTGGTGCCAAAGGCAGAGTGCGAGTGTTCACCGTTGACCTCAAAGAAGGGAAGAGAGACGGAGTCAGAAGTGCAGATGGAGCTGGGAGTCTCTGAGGGGTGAGGAGCCTCATCTTAAGCTTGGACAGCTTCAGTCGGAGCGAGAAAGAAAGGAGGGTGGGTAGTCTCGAATAGAAGATTGCTGAACAAAAACTGGCAAAGGGCCTCTGCTGGGGAAAGTAGTGACTCCTCACATCCTTTCCTTTGAAGGTTTAGGAACCTGGTTTCAGAGTCACCTCTCATGGAAGCTGTGTTAGTTTTGTCGTACTGAATTCCCGAGTTCTGTGACCTCAAGTCCGTCCCGTTCTTCCTCCACCCTCCACCCCTCCCCCGAGATAACTGTACATTTCACTCTGATCATGGCAACACCGTTCCTGTTGCTTCTGCCAGCTGTCAAGGCCGTCGATTTTCTCATCACCTGAGCAGTTGAGAGCCCTAATCATGAGCTGCTAAAGTTAATGGCGCATGCTTCCAGATTCTTAATGGCAAACTGTACCCATGACTTAGGAGTCAGTGTTACTTACCTCCATATGTCTGCCAGCTAGTGAGAGGGAATACGGAGGACGGTGAGAAACGAAGCTATCGTGGTAGCGCTCTTCCGAGAAGAAGCTCTCCAGTGTCTCAGCCTTAATGGAGTGTCTTTGGATCAGAGAGGAGGAGAGCATTGCATCGCGTGTTTTTAGGTTTATCCCTGCTGTCCCACTTCTGGGACAGGAGGTAGCAAGGGCTTTTTAATTTAACTGTGTTTTTTCTAGCAACCCAAACATTTTCCTGAGTCAGATCCCGTTTGCCCCCCTTTCATTGGGAAGTCTGTCCGATGCTGATTTGGGAGTTGCCCACCTTCCAGGTGGAAGTGGAAGAGGAGGGGGAGAAACTCCAGTGTGTTTCAGTGGTCCTTGAGTTTTTCTGAAGTGGGCCGTTGTCAAGTCATATGATATTATGAGTTTGCTTTTCTGTAGAGTTACTCTGGGGAGAGGTTTGCTATTAAGATATCAAAATTGAGCTGTTTGGGTCTTTATTGCTCTTTTGTAGTAAATGTTCCATTAGACTGCCTCTTTTGGTTCCCCTGTGCTTCTGTCTGCCTCATCTCATGAGATAAATAATATCATCAGGTTTGTGGTTTCCTGATGGTTTGGGGTGAGGCCCCAGTGTCTTGGTAATTCACAGGACTGCCTCATCTGGAAGCATTGGCCTTCTGCCTTATGTCTTGCATGGAATGACCAGTCTTCCTCCTTGTAGTGGAATAGGGAGGAGACTTGCATTGTTATCTGCCTGGAAAGAGGGGGTCCACAAAATGAGCTTTGTGACATAAACACAGCCCACCTCTGATTTGTCACGAGGTACCTCTTTTCTCCTTGGATCCCAGGGGGGTGTTACCAACCAATGAAGATAGTGATCCCAGAAATTGGCTTAACCTGTGAGTCTTGCCTCTTGAGGGTGCAGATTAACTTGCCATCTTGCAGAAAGTGCCACCCAGCTCTAGAGCCTGCAGTCTGCGATCCATCGGGATCCTTGAGTGGCTGATGTGCAGCTATTTGGGTTTTTTGGGCCTTTTTTCTTTTATACCATTTCAGCCACCCATACTTTTAAAATTCTTTTTTATAGTATGTTTTCGTGTGTTTGCCTGGCTCTGGGCTAGATACTGTGGGAAACACAAGAGGGGGAAGACATGATGTCTGGCCTAAGGAGCTTTTAAGTGACTGCTGCACGTGCAGCAGTTGGACAATGACTCTGTGGCAGCAAGAACCAAGGGCTGTCTTTAAAGAAATTCAGGTGGGCGAGGTCAGGGTAGACCAGATGGTCTGGGAGAGCTCTGTGGCCGTGAGGCTTTGGGTCCTAGGTGAGGGTAAGACAGACAAGAAACACATGAACAGAAGCATGGAAGCCGAAATCAGCGGGGTGTACTGACCAGGACACAGCCCCAGGTTAGAGTGGCAGCATCAGTCACTTCTTTCCCAGAGCCTGCGGTTTAGATGGAAACTTCCTAGTCATCAGGCAAGTCTCAGCACCGAGGGCTTATGATGGTGAAGTGGAGCCCAGAGCCAGAAGTCACCTGGTTCCTGCCCATGGCCAGGGACCTCACTGCTCTCAGCGCAGTCTTGGGGGGAGGAAGGCAGAGCCCTTGTACCCCTTGTGGTACCAGGGGTTTCCACCGGAGAATTCCTGCGGTCAGGTCCAGAACCAAACCAGCTGAGGAGGCATGACCCAACCTCACCACCATCCTTCTTTCTCCTCCTGGGAAAGGGTGGTGTGCACCCGTGTCCACGATCTGTCTGTGTGCTAGTCATGGCCCAGGCTGTCGCCTAGCCCTTCCTCAGTAGAGTGGGCTGTGAGACAGAGATGTGCAGGGAGAGACTGGCTCGGTTGGGGGGTGAGGGGGAGGAAGAGGCGGGAGTGGGGCAGCTGGCCGAGGGGCCCGTCTGGTCAGAGAGCAGAGAGGGGACAGGGGCGGCTGGCCTCTCTCCAGGCTGGGCCCACTCCTCCTGCGCCAGTTCTGTGTCGTGCTAATCGAGATGCAGTCCACAGAGGGAACTCATTCCTTTTCGGTTGTTGTATTTTAAAGTCACAAACTGGAAAAGGTTCTCACCTCCCGGGACCCATCATTGATTTTAGAGTTGGTAATGGGTTCTTGCCTGTGACCCTTACTTGTTCATAATTGATCTGCTGTAACCTTCCTCAGGACAGGTGTGGACCACTGTGAACTAGGTGACAACTGCTGCTACAATGGGCTGTTACTTGAAATCGCGGCTGTGGCAGGAGCGCAGAGTAAGGGGGTGGGGCCTTGCTGCGAGGACTGGGTAAGGGGGCAGCAGCTGGGACTTTGGGGCTGTTGGCGATGGCCTTGGCCCGGTGGCCAGCCTGTGCCTAGACGTAGTGAGTGTGAGCCGCGGACTGCAGCACGCCGGCTTCTGAGAGGAGAGGCTCTCTCGGGGAGCTCACCGTCACGAGGTTTCTACTCCTCTCCTTCCTTTCCCGGGGGCTGACAGGGTCGGCCCTCCCTGAGGCTGGGAATGCTGTGGAGGTGGCTGCAAACCCCCCTCCAGTGTACATCCGGGAAGAAGTGGGGAGCCGGGAGGGTGCTGAGTGCTTGCACGTCTGGGTATGAGAGCCTAGAGTAGAGCTGGATGCCCTGGGGTGCCCACCTTTTTGGCCCTCACCCTAGGCCCCCAAAAGAGCAAGGCTGCTTGAAGCCCTTGGCTCCCAGCAGGAAACGGGGATAGGTGGGACTTCTCCCTTAGGTGAGAGCCTTCCCTGCCTCGCTGCCTCTCTCCCTTGGCTCTGAGCCCTGAAAATGGAGGGCGAGGCACTGGGATATAGCTCTGTGGCTGTGGGAAGGAGATCGGAAAGTCAGCGTGTGTGTGCGCGTGTACGTGTGTGTGTCTGTGTGTCCGCATGCATGTCTTCATTTGCAGAGGTCTTGCCCCCAGTTGGGGTGTTGAAAGCATCTCCATTGTGGGGAGACCTGCCATTTGTTTTCCATGTTTAAGAGAATGACATGCCCCCTGTCCCTAAGGGAGGAGCTTTTGAGTTAGACATTTTCCCTATGGGAATCCTCTTGGTTTGGTTTCGGGTGGTGGGGGGATAAGTGATTTTTATCTCTAATTGTCGGCACAGCTGTTCTTACACCGACTCGTGCTGTTGCATACATGTAGCCGTCTTTCCTTTTCACTGCAACAGTGTTTATCAGTAGTTCAAAGTGATTTATTTGCTCCTGGGGAGTAAAATCTTTTTTATTAAAAAAGAAAAAGAAAAAAAAAAAGAAGAAGAAAGAAAGCAAAGCGTGGCTCCCTCCCCCCATGATAGCTGTAGGGTTAGTGGGCCTCAGAGCTCCAGAAGGCAAAGTTGAGTCTGCCAGTCCCCGTGACCTCTCCTGTTTTGACATCGGAGCCTTCGTGCTCAGCACAAAAGGACAGGAGGCCTTGAGAAGATGGAGAGCAAAGCCTCGGGAGGAGTGAGGTGGGGTTTGAACCATAGAGACGGAGACACTGGCGACTCAGGTGCTGCCAGTTAGAAAGACAGAGTAAGGAACTGTATTTAAAATACTGATTCTCTAATCTGCCAGGGAAAGACCTTTCTTTACATACAAATTCCATACTGTTGTTGTCCTTTTCATCGCTTCTTGACCTTCCTGGTAGGTGCCGGCCCAGTGTCTTCCTGCTTCCCATCCTGCCCTCTGTATGTCTTCTCCCGTCCTTTCCCACTCCCATCTACCTCTGGGAAGCCAGTCCTGCATGCTGAGTCTGTGACCTGCCTTCACGCTCATCTCATCTCGGTTAGAGGGTACCTGGAACTGCTCCCCCCCTCCTCCCTCCGAAGTGCCAAGAGGCACGAAGGAGCAGGTCACAAGCAGGGAGGACATGAGTGTCTGGTTGCAGCTGGACTGCAATCTTTGCTCCTGGAGAGACAGTGTGAAGAAAACGGAGGACACTCTTGATCGGAACCCAGGGCATCACACACTGCTCCGCCCAGCTCAGGTGGGGCGGGCGGGCTGGTCTGGCTCCTCCATCCCTGGTGCTCCCCTGAACGGGGGCCTGCCCCTCACCGTTGGGCCCAGAGCCTTTTCCAAGGGACAGGCATGACCCAGGTGCCACTCGGTGGGTAGGCCGGCCGTCCGGCGCCCACACCGGTGCTGCCTGGGGCGCAGCCGCTGCTGTACATTTTTTTGGTTGTTTTTAAGAAACTCCATGAAGAGGGGGGTCATTCCGGGCTCAGGGTGGCTGCCAGTCCTTCACCAGAAGGGGAGCCACACCCCTGCAACCACTTCTGTCCTTGTGTGCCCCCGCCCCGCCCTCCTCCAAGCCAAAGCGTGGCCTGGCTTTTGTCTTCCCGTTTAGTTTTT